TAGGGTTTAGGGTTCTAGGGTCTAGGGTTTAGGGCTTTAGGCTTTAGGGTTTAGGGTTTAGGCGAAGATCGAGGACTTTAACTAATTATGATGTTTGGAAGTATTGAGGGATATTATGCTGTAGTGCATGGAGGTTTGGGGGTAAATTACAGTTGTAATTATACTATGGCTGCGGGCCCTAGAAGATCCCTAGACCCTAAACCCCGTGATCCAAGCCCCCTTCAAACCCAGACCCTAAGGCTCGGTAGGAGCAGCAGAACAAGCATCTGCTGTTAGATCCTTTTCCTCAGCCAAAGGTATTCAGGGTACCGGTGTGTGTTTAGGGGCTTTTGTTCATCGCCCCGGTAGGGTTTAGGGTTTAGGGTTCAGGGGTGTAGTGCTTGAGGGCTTGGGGGGTTGCAAACAGGGGGGGGGGGGGACACGGGCTCAGGGCTCAAGGGGCCGAAGGCAGGGCGTCTGAGGGCTTCTCTTGCTTTTTGGGGTGCGTAGGGGGCCTGGGGGCTTCGGGCTTCGGTGTGTGTTTAAGGGCTTACGGCATGCCGGGCTATCGCGGCTACGACCTGGATGAAGAGAACTGAAGCAACGGGGTCCTAAACCTTAAACCCTAAACCCTAAGAACTCCCTATATTCGGCCCAGCCTCCCTATATTCGGCCCAGCCTGCTCCCCCAACGACACCCCAGACTCCTCTCCCACCTCGGCAGCAAGAAAGGGTCTACGGTTTAGGGTGTAGGGTTTAGGGTTTAGGATTGCCCTAGGCTTTAGGATTGATGTTTTTTAAGTTTTTTCAGTTGAATTGACTCTTGTCTGCCGGCACCGGCTCTCAACTATTATCCGCACTGACTCCCACCGAAGAGCTCAGATCATCATCCGAAGGGTTTAGGTTGGGGCGAATCCTCCCGAAATCATCCCTGCCCTTTCAACCGAGCACAGCAATTAAGAGCAGCAGCAAGAGCAAAGCAAAAGCAAGAGCGGGAGTAAAGAGCAGGAGCAAAAGCGGGAGCAACGGATCCCTAAACCCTAAACCCTAACAGCAGGAGCAGGCGCAAGAGACGCAGCAGAAGCCGGAGCAAACGCCAGTGCGGGAGCAAGAGCCAGAGCAGGAGCAAGAGCACGACCCCTCAAAGGTGGCAGCAGAGATAACCATACCCCCAATAAAATAACAATAGTTATTATACTAGTATTAATAGCAACAGTGCTTTCCGAGGCTTTTATTGGGAGGTTTACCAGGGGGAAGGAATTAAACCCCAAAGCCATAACCCATAACCTTAATAAACCCCAAACCCTAAACCCTAAAGCCATAACCTTAATACACCCTCAACCCTAAGCCCTAGACCGCAGCCGTAGATCCTGAACCCTAAAGCTTAGGGCTCTGGAGGTTTAGGGCTTGGGGTTTAGGGTTTAGGGCTTTCGGGTTTAGGGCTTTGGGGTTTAAAGCTTAAGGGAATCGCATAATTCGGGTAGGGCTGCGAGGTACAGTATAGCACACTCATTTGGGGATTCGAGGCGCAGTATAGCACACTTACTTTGGGGACTGCTTGGGCCCTAGTATGGGCCCCTAACCCTGGGATCCGTATACACCTTTCATATACCGTATATGTACCCCTCAGGGCCCCTAGAAAGGCCTTAAGGGTCCATATTAGGGGCCCCCTAACCCCTAAAACCTAAACCCTAAACCAATGCTTCTAACCTTAGTTAGAAAACACCCCGCAACCCGTATAACCGGAACCCAGGTCTGGGGTGTTGGGATCCTCGGGGGGAAGCTCCCCATCAAAGGGCGGGTTAGGGTTTAGGGTCTAGGGTCGAGGGTTTAGGGTCTAGGGTCTAGGGTTTAGGGTTCCACCCAGGCAAGATTGACATCACCAGCAATAAGGATTCAGGGTTCTGAACCCTTTGAACTAGCCAGGAGGCATAATGCTCCAGCAGGATCTGGGTGTTCTTGCCCACTATTTCGACAGCCTCCTCCAGGGCGCGCAGGATCGCGTCGTCCCCCTTTCCTGGGTCTGATGGTTGCAGCACAATACAGGAGCCTCTTCAACTAGACCAGGGCTTTAAAGGGGTTCTACTATAGCATAATGCAAGGGCCTCAATTATCGGAATAGGGTTTTGGAGTATACTATATGATAAGTATAGTAAAGTATAGTAAGGAGCCCCCAAATCGTAGAGGCAATCATCAAGGCCCCTACGTTAGCTATGATAAAGAACCCTGAGGAGTAATGTTCTTAATTCTTCCAGCCTCTCTATCGCAAGCTTCAGGTTGTGCATGTTGGGTGCAGGAATGCAAGCAAAATGGGGAGCTCAGGGCTTTGGGCTTTGGGTGTCTACATGGCTTGCGGTTTTCGCAGGATAAGTCCTTGGAGGCTCGGGTTCCTGGCTGTTCATGTTGGGCTTCGGGCTTCAGATGTAGGTAAGCCCGTGGAACGCGGCCAAACCTTGTTTATCAAGGCAACGGGGTTTGGGGTTGTGGGGTTTGGGGGGTTTAGGGTTCAGGGTTTAGGGTCCAGGGTTTCGGGTTTAGGGTCTAAGGTTTAGGGTTTAGGGTTCCCCACCTTACCGCAATACTGTTGAGCGGAAAGATCACAAGCCCCCTACTTGGAGGTTCACAGATAGCTATAAGCGGGGTTACAAGTCCTTCACTGTGGGTTATACAGTTACATAGCTATAAGTTATCCTACTTAGAACTTATACCCCTCCGTAGAACTTACCATGAACCTCCAAGCATATGCACCAAACCGATCGAAGACTAAACCAAAGAGCCAGAAACTCCGCAGCCGCAACAACTCTAAACCTGTTTCGGCCCAGATGCGCACAGCATCTCGGATGCAGTGGAGGTCGCAAAATGTCCGGGCGAAGCCATGCCTTTGGGGCTTTTAGGGTTTAGGGTGGGTTTTGGGATTT